GGTTGTTTCCTCGGGAAAAACACTCCGACGCTCAAGTCAGCAATACTCAATATTCTAGAGAGAGATGCTCTCAAGGAATAATTGCAGAGAGAGAAGCGTAGAGATTAATTACCTGTCGGAGGTAGTTGGGGGGGTATTTATAGCCCCTTGGTGCTGAGATACATCTGCACGTGTGAGCACCCCTTTGGCCCACGTGGCGCTGGTCACACGGGTATGCTTGTACTGATGCTCCTTCAGCTTGGGCTAATGGGTGGTAACCTAGGCTCGTTATGCATAGCCCTGTTTGGGTGTTGGGCCTGTTGGGCCTATTCCAACATTACTCCCCCCCCCGATGTTCGGTTGACGAACTGGGATGGATGTGGCCGTGGGTCAATGCTCTAGCTGGTGACTATGATGGACAGCTTTAACAGCTTACGGCCGACGTCGGCGATGGCCAAGCTGAAGGGTAATACGAAAAGAGGCGAGCTCGCGCCTGAAAGCGCGGAGACGAATTGATGTCCATAGCCACACCAGTGTTATTCGTTATTTCAGCGAGCTCGTCCGCGCTGACATCAACGCCACGGGGTGTGTAGCGAGTTGAGGCAGTGCGACCTCACTCGCAGTACGGCCTGGGATTCCCGATTATTACGCGTCATCAGCTCGCACGTGTAGTGACGTTGAATGGGGCGACCTCCGGTACCCGTTGATATGCGAAAAGGACTGTGACCGGTCGTGAGCTGTAACTCGTGCAGCGACCTGAACTTTGGGGCACGTCGATCTGCGACGAGCTGAGTTTTTGGGGAATTTTAGCGAACAAGCTATAACTGTGAACGAATTGGCATGTTCGTGGCAACCTGGTAAACGTGGTCGCGATGACGAGCAGCTATTCTGATCTATAATAAAACGTGTAACGATCTGACCAAATCTCTGAGTAGATACGTTTGTTTGACCTGATTCATGGCCGATCTAAATCTTGGAGATTTTTGAATCAATTGAGTCTGACCAGATCTCTGTGGAGATACGTTTGCTCTTCCGTATCTCTTTACCTTCCTCGCCATAAATGCTGGCGCAGCGTTTGAGGAACGTGACAACTAGAGGCGGTGCACGCTATGCAAAAGACGGTTAGGCGCCTACCACGTGTGAGACGCCTATTGGTGTGTCAGAGACACATGCACGGCGCTTAACACGGTCATGTTGGTTTTGTTTCTCTCGTAACCGTTCCCTTTTCCATTTTCATTTCCTTGCTTGCGTAAGTTCAACACGTTTCTCTGCAGCACAACGTTTGGGTTTTGAAGAACAGAGCATAAGGTCATCACTTCGTACAACGTCTGCTATCATTCAAAAGGTAAAAATGGATTTCTTTAGGGAATTGAGAGAGCTACGGGGTAACTAGGGTAGGGAGGAAGAAGAGGGGGTGATTGCCGCGGAGCCTATCGCGATGATAGTACCACCGAAGCTGCAGGATTTGCCGGAGACAATAACGTCAGAGAGTAGCGCCAGTTCAAGCGCCGGAGATAATGGCGACGGCCACCACGCTTCACCGTCTAGCAGCCCGTCTTCTGGGAGTCCGTCAAATCCTGAGGAAGAGCCGGAGAACGTAGGTGGTAACGAACTGGATCTGCCCGCGGCTGGGGAATGGGAGGATAGGGTACTCCCTGGCAGACTGAGTAACATACGCAAAGCTCCAAAGGATCTGCCAGCTGGGTTTAGATTCAGGGCGGCGCTTCATCACGAAGTAGCGGACAGCGTGCCCTCAATAAGTGGGTACAAGGGGCTGGAGGAGATGATAAGGGAGTACCACATCCCCCGGACTATATTGGTGCGAACTAGCGGGCAGAACGAGAGGGCTTGCTCGGTATCGCAGACGGGTTGGATACCCGTGTATGCAGATCATTTTGATGCCGGTTTGCGATTTCCCCTGCCTGGGCTGGTATTCGACCTGCTGGCAGACTACAAGCTGGCTTTGACGCAGCTGACACCCAACAGCATAAGGTTCATCGTGGGCTTTATGCTGTTGTGTGCGAGACTAGAGGTACCGACCAAGGCGATAGTGTTCAAGTCGCTGTTCTAGTGCCGGCTGTGTCCAAACTCAAGAGGAGCGAAGTGGTACTACCTCTCTGGGAGGGATAAGAGCTAGCTCTTCAAAAACGTGAGGAATAAAGTGGCGCGGTGGAAAAGGCAGTTCATTTTCGTTCGTGACACGCAAACAGAGAGGGTAAGCAATGACCTCGCTGCCCGGCTATCGGAATGGCGCACACCAAATGCGCATGTGAATTATCCCCAACTGCTGCCACGGGACACGGATCTCAAGAACCGGCTGTTAGAGCATGAGAGACGTGAAAATTTAGTAGATCTCGAGGCCCTGGTTACCCCGGAGCTGCTCGCCGTGTTTAGGTTTGTCGACGTGGCAAATCTGTTCACAGAAGGTATATTTTTCTCATATGGTAGGAATTGTAGCCGGGCTGAGTCTTATGCGTTTTTCTGTGCAGGAGAGATGAGCAGCATCTTGGAACGCCAACGACAGCGAGCCCAAGGCTCACGAGGTCGCGCGTCAGGCAGCGCGCAACCCAGGCAGACACGTTTTGACGAGCGGCCACCCCCGGCGCCTCAATCACGCGGCTCGTCACACTGGGGATCCAGCTCGTCGTCAAGGCCACGAGCAGATCACAGAGCTGAGGCTGCGGCCCCAGGTGCATGCAGACGTGCACGCGAGGAGACAGAGAGCGAGGAGGATGAGGTCCCCCTTGCTCGGCGCAGAACAAGCGGGGGGACTCAGCCCGCACAGGCGGCCCGTCCTGTAACCGTGCGTTCACCGAACGCACCGTCAGTGACTGTGCGAGCAGCAGTGGAGCCCACCTCTGCATCGGCCTCGATGTCCGGCCCCAGGATTGCTTATCCTGAGGGCTTCAGCTATGTGGGGCAGAGTGTCAGCCTGCCATGGTGCAAGGCATGCACAACTTTGTGCCCCCCGCAGATAGTAAGTGGGCCAAAACCTTTGTGCAACAGCATGGTGGCCAAGTCGCCATGATAAAACTGATGGACGTAAGTATCTGCTCGTACCTTCTTGAATATTTTGCTTTTTCTTTTTAGAGACTAACGGTGACCACTGTTTGGCAGGCGTTCAGCTACGCAGTAGCGCTGTACGAGAGAGAGCAGGCGGCTCGTACAGAGAACACCGAGCTCGGTTCAAAGTGCAAATAGCTGGCCGCGGAGAAGGCTAGCCTTGTGGACGATGTAAATCGTTTGCAAGGCTCTGAAATGGCGAACCGAGCTGCGGCCGTAGAGAGCCAGGCGGACGAAATTGCCAATAGGATCAATGAGCTCAAGGAGGAGCTAGAACGAGCCCATGCCGAGAGAGAAAGTGGGATTCAAGCGACAAAGGATGAGGCCGCTCGAGCTGAAGAGCGGGCTAAGAGGGCTGAGGACGAGAGGGACCATGCTCAGACTGAGCTGAGTTCGCTACGGTTCCAGGTCACTGAGGCCGACAAGAACCTCAGCACTACCGAAGAGGCGCTGAACGCATTGAAGGCATCTCATGCGCGCTCCGTCGGTATTGCCCGAGCTCAAGGGGCAGAATGGCTGGTTGGCTCGTCAACATTCCAAGACGCAGTGGCGGTGGCGCTTGCCAACATGACCACGGAGATTTACAATGAGATTCGTGGGAAGGTGCTGCACCACCGCCCAGATTTTCCAATCCGTGAGCTGGTCTTCTTTGACGAGGAAGAGCTTGACGAGCAGGGTAAGAGCCTTGCTCCCCTCGCTGACACGACTGTGAGGCTGAGATGGGATGTAAACGAGGAGGGCGTGCCCGTCTGGCCACCGTCCGTGCTGGAAGACGGGGAAGATCCAGTAGGACTGCCCTCATTTGATGCATGGGTAGAGGGTGCTCCTGTAGCTGAGCAGGAGCCTTCTAGCACCCCGCCCAACTCTCAGCCCGCTGTGGTGCCAGCCAGCTCACCCGTCAGCGCGCCAGCCCTTGAGCCCGCAGCCCGGTCTCCTCCGGCTCACTCTTCCGCAGCTTCTGCTGACACATCCATGCCCGTCGATCTGACGGATGACTAGATTTAGGGTTTTTTCTTTCAATTTTTTGTACTTCGCTTTTGCATTTTTGTATTTGATCAATGAATTCATATCATGTGTACCTTCAATGTAAATATCTTTGATGAAATACAAAATTGAGTTTTCCTTTGAATTTTGTTGTATTTTTGGTGTATCATTGTTTACAATTGTCGAATAACAACTGGAATAAAAGAATAGTATACAGATTAACTGTAAAATTTTCTAAGATCCTATATGTTCCAAATGTAAGGCAACTGACGTCCCTGTATATCTGCTAACATGTAAGAACCAGGTCGTTTAACTTGAACAACCATATAGGGGCCTTCCCAATTAGGAGCGAGCTTGCCCATGTACGAATGGGTGTTAGTTAGCCCAGCTTTACGTAGGACCAGATCGCCGACTTGAAACTGGCGAGCTCGAACTCTTTTATTGTAAAATTTTGCCACACGACTTTGATATGCCATGTTTCTTATTCGGGACATCTCCCTGATTTCTTCCACAAGGTCTAGGTTTTCTCTTAAGAGCTGTTCATTATTCTGATCGTCATGACAATCTGATCTATCGGATGGCAATCCGACCTCGACGGGGATAACAGCCTCAGCTCTATATGCCAAATTGAACGGGATTTCGCCTGTGGCCGAGCTGGGTGTAGTACGACATGACCACAGCACTTTATTGAGCTCGTCAACCCAATTAGTGTGTGCAGCCAAAACATGCATCTTGAGTCCCCGCAAGATGATTTTATTAGCGGACTCGGCTTGCCCATTGGGCTGTGGAGTGTATACAGATGTCAAGGCGAGCTCAATGCCATAGTCGTTACAAAACGACCTTAGTGCTGCTGCTCGGAACTGTGGCCCATTGTCGGCGATAATCCGCTTAGGTATGCCGAACCTGCACACAGATGAGCGAGCTGAGCTACAAATCACATTTGCATCTATTTTATTTATGGCCTCGATCGCCAAAGAATACCTGCACAATATTGAATTGAACAAGAATTCTTCTATTTTTCTTTCTGTTGTCATGGACAGTGGTTTGGCTTCTATCCACTTAGTGAAGTAATCCATTGCAACGACCAGGAAAATGCAGCCTCCTTTGCCTTTGATGAAAGGGCTGAGCAGGTCAACACCCCATTGAGCAAAGGGCCAAGGAGACGTGAGTGATGAGAGCATTTCTCCTGTTTTAACAAAGATACCTATGCTCAGTTCATAGATAGTCACTAAGTTTGCATAAACTTTAGAACGAGCTCGGATACCTGGCATATGAATACCATTGGCATTGAACTGGCAGGTCAGGCACCTTTTGACATAGTTCTGTGCGTCGTCGACCATGGTAGGCCAGTAATAACCGTGCCTCAGGAGTTTCTGAGCTAAAGTTCTGCCATCGATGTGCGTGCCACATACTCCCTCGTGAACTTCTCTTACTGCGTATTCAGCTTCGTAAGGAGTAAGGCAACGTAAGAGGGGCATTGAGGCTGCTCACTTGTAGAGCTGGTTATCTAACATAGTGAAATGTGCCGCCCTGCGTTTAATCACTTTTGCAGCGGACTGGTCTTCAGGTAGCTTGCCGCTTTGTAGATAATTTATGAGCGGGGTGGTCCAGCTCGGTGTAGAGGGATCTGTACTTAGCAGGTGACACTCGACTGTGAAATCAATGTAGCTCGGTGCGTCGAGTACCTCGACAATTGTTGATCTCTGAGGGTTAATATCCTGCGGGGAGGCCAACTTTGACAGCTCGTCAGCTCGGTGGTTGTTTGCTCTTGGTATTTTATCAATTTGGAAAAGGGCAAATATCGATTTCAATCTGTTGACCACAGAGGCATAACGACTGAGCTGGGGATCCCTGATGTCGCAGCTACCATTCACCTGGCCCACTACGAGCTGTGAGTCGCTGAAAACCTGAATGCTTTGTACTTTCAGCTCGGACGCCAGCTTTAGTCCGTAAATGAGGGCTTCATATTCTGCAGCGTTATTGGTCGTCTGAAACTTAAACCTCAGTGCGTGCTCAGATTTAAAGCCATTTGGGCCCAGTAACACAGCCCCAGCACCCGACCCTTCAATGTTAGCTGCTCCATCAACATACAAAACCCAGACTAGGTGTTTGGGTGCTTTTTCTTCGTTAGTTATTGAGGTGCACTCCACCAGAAAGTCCGCAACGGCCTGGCCTTTTATGGTTGTGCGTGGCCGAAATTTCAGGTCATATTCACTCAGCTCGACGCTCCATCCAATAAGCCGACCA